GGGGATTCCAGGATCTGGGGGCTGGAGCTTGGCTCAGGGAGGGAGGGAGGGAGGGACCGAAGGGGAAGGCATCTGCTGAATTTCCCCAAGGGCTGAGCCAGAGGAGCTTCTGGGCCAGGTGGGGCTGCTCTTTTCTCCCCATGACAAAGGTCTCCTTCCTGCCTCCATCCCACCATTGCTGGTCTCCTCCCTGCCCCCAGACAGCCTGGCTGCTGGCAGAGACGGGGTTCCTCGCCTGGGGAAGAGCTTTAGGGGTTGGGGGTGGGCCTGTAAGACACTTCAAGTGATCTGCAGTGCTTTGGGGCATGTGCCAGGGTACGACCCGATTGCCTTCTGTCCCCGGAGTTGTTTGTAGCCTGAGAAATTACGCCAGCGGCAATTACAATAGTTGCTAATGCAGCCATTGCCGTGTCTAAGGACTGTGCGCAAGTCCCCACATCTCCCACGAGGTTCTGAGGCAGGCGCTGCTCTCAGCGTTCTCATTTTGCAGAAGAAACAGCACGGAGATTAAGACACTGCAAGAAAATGGAGGCACTGGGACTGGAACCCGGGCCCCTGGGCCTGAGACTGCTGGCTGGGTTACTTCACTGCAGTGTCACCGAGGTTTGGAGCACCTGACACGTGAACCGGGCCTCTGGCTGCTGTCTCCGCTGACCCTTGACTTCTCCGCTCTCTCCTCCAGGCGATGGCTCCCGCCCCGGGCTCCTGCCCCTGCTCCCCAGATGTCCCTGATGTGGCCTTACAGCCTTTCTCTGGACCTTGGTCAGGCTGAACCTCTGCCGTCTCTCCTTCCTCCACGCGGGCCTTGAATCTCTCTCCTCCAGCCCACGCTTCGCTGGGCCAGGTCAACCATGCCACGAAGACACCCCCCTCTCTCTCACCCAGCCCCCTGCCTCTCCTCTTCTGCCTGGAGTGAGGGTGTACGTACCAAAGACAGAACCATTTCTCGCCTTTAACGAAAATATATGAAAAAAAACAAAAACAAAAAAACACACCCCTCGGTGTCCTGGTGAGGTCCTGGCGGGGTAGGGAGACACCGTCCCTTTTCCTGGCTGGACTTCAGCTCAAGTCCCTGGGAGGGGAAGGTTCCCAGGTCCCCTGCATGGAGCTGGAGTCCTGCTCTGGCCCAACTCAGCGTTTTCACCTGAAAAATGGGCGCGCAGTTTTTGAGGGAGAATCGAGGTGCTTTGGGTCCAAAGGCCGGGACACACGCTGATGTGGAAGTGGGGGGCAGTCTTGGGGGCATGGACCTGCACTGGACATTTCGAATCTGTTTGTAATTAAACTTGGGAATGACCACGAGGAGCGTGAGCCCACTGCACACTAAGGGGCCCTCTTGGTGGGGGGCTGCAGTCAGCCTCCCCAGGGGAAAGCCAGGTGGCCCAGATTTGGCCTCCTGGGGGCTGGAGGAGCTGGGGGGCTGAAGGCCTGTGAGGGGGAGGAAGAGGGTAGTCTGCTCTCCTAGAATCCCCAACACTTCTCAAACGCCTCTATTTTTAGAGAGAAGAATACCCCAACTTCTCTATTAAATGCACCCGAATTTCTCTTTGGAAACACCTATTTTATCTCCCCAATGCTACAAACCTCTCTCTTGAGGTATCCCAATATGTCTGACAAAAAGCTCCTTGTTTTCCTCCAGCTGCTCCTCTCTTGCCCCTAAACATGGGAGTGTGCAGACAGGCCTTTCGTCCCCTTTTTCAGAGGAAAAGGCAGCTCGGGGCCCAGAGCTGCACAGGCATGAGGCGGCTCCTCAGGCCTGGAGCGGGGACGGCAGGCTTTGTCTGAGCCGCCTCCCCGTGTGTCCTCCCAGCCTGTCTGCTGGAGGCCACAGGGGGCAGCCTATGACTCAGGCCTGCATCCTGGGGAGTACCACCTTCCTGCTTCTCCTCTGAGCCGGGCCACCTTCCCCCTCCATATAGTACGCTCCTGGGAGTGGAGGGGAGGGTGAGGACTGAGGCGGGAGGGGGTGGAGGCCGAGGCTGCAGCACGAGGGGCACAGCTCAGGGTGGGTGGGGATGGTGGGTGCCTTCTGGGCCCCCTCCCTAGCTTAGGCCTGGAACCGGCAGCCTCTTCAACTCTGATTCCAGGGAAGCTACAGCTCAGGGTTTGGGGGGGTCCTGGCGGAGGGGTGGGGGGCGGCCGCACCTGTCAGTCCCAGGGCTCTGCGGAGGCAGCAGCAGGTTTTGTTGACGCGGAGAGGTTTGTGTTTGGGGTCAGAGCCGGTGGCCTCCCTGCCCTGGTCCCTTCCAGGGTGGCCCACAGGACAGGTGTTTGGAATCCATCCCCAGGTACTTTCCCCCTCTGGGCCTCAGTTTCCCCAGCCCCCCCCCCCCCAAATGTGATGGGTTGGGGCTTTTGGCTGAGCAAGGCTGTGGTCAAGGTTCTGGGGTTCAGTTTGAGGCCTGGCAAGATCTCCCCCTGGCTGAGTCTCTTTCCTCACCAGTAGCCGCTTCCGTGAACCGATGACCAGCACTCACATGTTTCGGCGTGTTTCAGTACTTCGCACACAGCCACTCTGATGCTGAGATGCCCGTGAAGCACTGAGGCGGCAGAGAGGTTTGGACACTTGCCAGAGTCACAAAGCAGGAAATATTGGTCCTAGGATTCAAACCCTGATTAAGTGGCTCCAGATGAATGTCTGGGTTGCTTAGCACAGGAATCAGCACAGAATAAATTCACTGCATCCTCTTTCAACTCAACTGGGGGAGAGAGACCCTGCCCCAGTGGGGATGGAAGTCCCCATTTCCCAGGTCAGCCTGGCAATGCCCTTCCTTGCAGACCTCTAGCTGGTCACTTCCCCGACTGCAGAGGGAGCACTGTTCCCAGGAGTCATCCTTCCTGCTCGTTAAAGACCCCAGTGTCTTGGAGACACAGCAGGGCTAAGACCAAAACAACCCTTCCAGCCACAGCTCCAAGCCCAGCCGGGCAGCAGAACCACACAAGTAATTGCCGTAGGGCACTCTTCATGACAGCTGAAGTTGGGGTTCAGTGGGCTCTGTCAGGCTGCAACACGAGGCTGGCCCAGGCAGTGGTGGTATCTGCCTCCCCTGGCATGCTGGTGTTGCCCCAGTGCAAAGTGGGGCTCAATGCTTGCTGGGTGAGCGAATCTGAGACAGGCCTCCTGGAGTCAAGGCCCCCTCTGAGCCTCACTTTCCCCACTCTGACCCCTGGGACTCTCAGCCCCACCTCACTCCAAGGCCCAGGGGATGTGTTGGAGGGGCGGGGCCTCCATCTGGCCGCATTATCTTGCTGGCTCCTTACAAACCGAGGCTGGACTTGGGACTGGTCTGCCTTGGCTGCCAGAGGGGGAAAGTGAGGCTGAGAGGGAGGGCAGAGAGTGAGGAAGCAGGGGGGTTAGGGCTGGCAGGTCACAAGGGAGGGGGGTGGGGCCCCAGAGGGACCCTGAGATCTTAGAAGCTGCCAGGCCTGGGGTTGCCTTGGTTTCTCTCTCTGTGGGTAGCACGCCTGACTGCACTCTCCCTGCTCTCCTCCAACCACATGCTCCTGTTACAATTCCTACTCACCTGTGTCCCCCAGTTGGCACCGCCTCTGTGGGATGCATCACACAGTGGGCCCTGCACCCCCCGGCCACAGCTGTGTCCCTAGCGTCTGTGTCATTGTCCAACATCCAACATCCAAGTGCTCAATAAACACCTGCCCGTGAAATGGGGGAGCAGTGTCTTCTCTGGCTTCTGGGGGTGGCTTCGTGAGCGATACCCATCACCAGGAGGAGTGGGGCTCAGCTGCTGGGTCCTTATTTCTAGAAGGAAACTCTCACCTTTCTCGTCGTCGTCGTCGACGGAGGGGAGAGTTGGGGGAAGGACCGTTAGAGCAGCCTGGCACCGAGAAAGCGCTCAGGAGTAAATTCAGATGCAGTTATTCTTGCTGCTATTATTTTCTGCTTCATTGTAAGTCAGGAAAGCTGCTCCCCAGAGAAAGGGCCGACAGCGAGTGTGGGTCTGCGCTCCTCCCCAAAGGAACTGAAGCAGAGGCGTGGGGTTCCTGCTGCTCCTGCTCCTCCCTCCGCAGGGACCCGCGCTGGGGGTGTCCATCGGCAAACTGCGGGGACCACCTGCTTTCCCTCCCACGTACCCTCGCCAACCCCCCGAGCCCCCCGCGAGGCTCCCGGGGCGCACGGCGGGCGGGGGGCGGGGGCGGAGGCGGCCGTACTAGGGAGAATACGGCGGCGCGGCGGCCGGGCTGGGCGGTTTCCCGCCGCGGCCGGTGAATGAGTCCGACTGCGCTGCCGCCGCCGCCGCCGCCGCCGCCGCCCTGGTGCAAGCAGCAGCCTCGGCCCCCGCCCCGGACCCGCAGCCTCCGCGCCCAGACTCCGTGAGCCCGCGGGACAGCCTCAGCCCGAACACCACCCCTGGCAGGTGAGTTCGGGGACTCCGCCACCACCCCAGGGGCTGCTCGGACCCCACCCCCACCCCCAGCCGAGTTAACCGAGGGCTGGGGGGGGGGGGTAGGGGGTGTCGGGGGAGGGGGGATAGGGATCAGTGGGTCCCAGACTCCTTTCCTCTCCCTCCCCCCATCCCCCCACTTGCCTGGACCCTCAGCCCTGGGAGAAGCCACAGGTGGGTGGGAGCCGGATTGGGGGTGGGGTGGGGGCGGAGCTGGGACACGCGGGGGTCCACCCACACCCCGAGGTGTGGTCCCTGCAGACAGAGTGTGAAACCCTTAAAAAAAAAAAAGCGCTTTGAGATCCCCCAAACGGGGGGTGGGGGCGAGTGAGGGGCCGCTCTCCCCTGGGAGCTCCCCTCGAGTCGGCGCACCCCCACCTCTGCCGGCTGGTGGCTGTGCCTGGAAGTTAAGCACGACCTCTGGGGAGAGAGGGGCGGGTGTCAAGCCCATCCTTCCCCGCCTCCGCGCCCCTGGGTCCTGAGGGCCCAGGCCCTGTCCAGGTGGCCCCCCGACAGGTGCCAGGAACCCCCCTTTTCAGCGCCCCAGGGCGTGCAGGCCCACAGCTCCTGGCCCCGCTTCTCTCCGCAGACGCCCTGTGCGCTGCGCCCATGAAGAAGACCAACATGTGGTTCCTGGAGCGGCTCCGGGGGAGCGGGGAGAACGGCGCGGCGGGGGGCGAGGCGGGCGACAAGGCCTCCAAGGGGCCCCTGTACAGCAACGTGCTCACGCCCGACAAGATCCCCGACTTCTTCATCCCCCCGAAGCTGCCGGCCGGCCCCGCGGAGCCCGAAGCGCCGGCGGAGCAGAGCGCGGCCCCGGCCGCCGCCGCGGACCCGCCGCCGGCCTCGGCCTCGCCCCGCCGCGCCCCGCGCAGCCCGCGGCTGCCCGCCAAGCTGGCGGCCGAGAGCCGCAGCCTGCTGAAGGCGGCCACGCGGCACGTGATCCAGATCGAGAGCGCCGAGGACTGGCCGGCCGAGGAGGGGGCCGCCACCAACGCCGACCCGCAGGCGCAGGGGGCCATGTCGCTGCCCTCCGTGCCCAAGGCGCACACGTCCTACGGCTTCGCCACGCTGGCCGAGAGCCCGCACACGCGGCGCAAGGAGTCGCTGTTCCACAGCGAGCACGGGGCGCTGGCGCAGGTGGGCTCCCCCGGGGCGCGGCGGCGCGCGGGGGCCGGCCGGGCGGACGGCAGCGGCGGCGGCGGGGGCGCGCTCATGAGCCCCAGCCGCTACTTCAGCGGCGGCGAGAGCGACACGGGCTCCTCGGCCGAGTCCTCGCCGTTCGGGTCCCCGCTGCTCTCGCGCTCCGTGTCGCTGCTCAAAGGCTTCGCGCAGGACAGCCAGGCCAAGGTGAGCCAGCTCAAGCACTCGGTGGGCCGCCACGGCTCGCTGTCGGCGGACGACAGCACCCCGGACACCAGCCCCGGAGCGCGGCGCCGCCTGACGCGCAGGGCCGCCGCCGCCGCCCCGGAGCCGGGGGGCGCCGCCGCCGGGGAGCCGGGCCCCGGGCCCCGCGCGGAGCACGCGGTGCGCATGGGCCCGCGGGGCAGCGTGCGGCTGCTGGCCGAGTACGAGGCGGCGCAGGCGCGGCTGCGGGTGCGGCTGCTGGCCGCCGAGGGCCTGTACGACCACCTGTGCGACGCCCGGAGCATCAACTGCTGCGTGGGCCTCTGCCTGGTGCCCGGGAAGCTGCAGAAGCAGCGCAGCACCATCATCAAGAACAGCCGCCACCCCGTCTTCAACGAGGACTTCTTCTTCGACGGCCTGGGCCCGGCCAGCGCCCGCAAGCTGGCGCTCAGGATCAAGGTGGTCAACAAGGGCAGCAGCCTCAAGCGGGACACGCTGCTGGGGGAGAAGGAGCTGCCCCTGACCTCCCTGCTGCCCTTCTTGTAAAGGCCCCGGGCCAACGGCTCTCCGAGCCTCCCTCCCTCCCGCCCGCAGGTTCCCCGGGGGAGACCCACCCCCTCTCCTCCTCTCCCCTCCCCACTCCGATTCTGACAGGGCGGCCAGAGGCTCAGGGGCTGCGCCAGGCTGGGGGCAGAGGAGGTGGGTTTGAACTCCGGCTGGGTGGGGCCCGGAGGCTCAGCTGCAGCGGGGGCTTTCCTGGGATTCTGCACGGTGACCAGGATACTATTTTTCACGGATTAAGTTAGTTGGAGGAGGAAGAAAAGAGGGGGCTGCCAGGGAAGAGAAGGCCATTTGCAGGGCTGAGCAAGTTCCATGGCCCTTGGTGTGGTTTCCCCGCACAGAGTGCTGGAAAGGGGTTCTCAGGCGGCTGGCACCTGTGCCAGGAGGTGGCCGTGGAGGATGGAAGACCTAGAGGTCTCCAGTCCTGCCGCTGGGCTGAATCTCTCCGTGTGGCACGAGTGTCCTCATCCCCCAGGTCTGCCAGACGCCCCCCCTCCCCCCCTCCCCCCCCAAAGCAATGCCAGGGCCCGGGTTCTGCCACCAATGCCCCAGGGGGCTGTGGGAGGCAGCAGAGCGGAGGAGCTCACGGTGCAGGAAATCCCAGAAGATGAAAACGGGAACAATGATGGGAACAATGGCTTTGCGTCTGTCCCCGGAGCCAGACAGCCCTCCCCGGGGCCATTTCCCTGCAGCACCTTCTCTGCTTGCTTTTCTGGCAGAGGCCTGCCTGGCTGGTCCGCTGCATCTGCCTGGGAGCCCTGCTGGCGCTGCCGGGACACCTGGAGCCTCCCTCCCCTGGAGCGGGACGCTCTGAAAACACCCAGCTGGCAGCCCCCTTGCCCAGGACTCCCATCCCCCATCCTCCCCCTCGCACGCTGCCACCCCACCCCCTCCTGCCCAGCACCCCTGGCAGCTGGACACCAGGGAGTGATGCCTGGCTGCTGATGGCTGTGGCTTCTACTCCACGTGTGTAAATAGGCTTTGGCTAGGGTGGGTGGGATAAAGGGACACGGGCTGGGGCGGGGAGGGGGGGTATCCTGGTGTGACTTTTCATGCTGTTATGTGGCTGCATCGGTTTGCTTGTGTCAGGATAATTTTTGTGGAGGTTTTCCAGCTCAGAGAAACACACGGTACCGTGTGAAGCAGGGGCCAGCTCTGCCAGGCCAGCTCTGTCCCTTCCTTTCTCCTGGGCTGCTGCCTGCTGGGCAGGGATGGACCAGGGCAGCCCACTGAGTCCTGGGGCGCCCCTCCCTGTTCAAACATTGCCCCTCTGACTCTAGGTTTCCAAGCCCCACGAGGGGAGAGGTGGAGAAGCAGATTTCCCCCCAGGGCTGGGGAAGGCACCAGTGCACCCTGCACTGAGATGGAGGGGCCCTGGGAGCTGGGGTCCCTTTTAGTGCCCCCTTTGGTCTCTGTCCTGTGCCTGCTCCTTCCTGCTCCTGCTCCTGCCTTCCTAGGGGCTCCCCCTTCACTCTGGAACCCGAGGGCCACCAGGGCCAGGCTTGTGGGCTGAGGAGGCAACAGGAGGCCCTGCAAGGAGCTAGCTGCTTGGAGCTCATGCCCCTCCTGTCCTCTCTGACCCTGGCCTCCCCCTCCCCCTGCTTCCCCTCCGGGGCCTCCGGTTTTCATATGCCCGGTGCACTGTCTCATATCTTTGTGTTCGAAGTTGACAGTGGGCAAACCTTTATGACACCCTTCCTGAGTGTGTTTGTTTATAAATGCTGTTTTTAGTGCAATAAAGGTGTTTCGGGAATGCGGGGGTGGAGATTTGCCTTTTTTTTTTTTTTTTTGCTGTTTAATGACAAGAGGAGTTTTGTCTGGAATTCCAAGGAGGATGGCGGGAGCCTTTGAGGTCAGTGAAGTGCTCCACCCTTTCAGACCCTCTGCTTGGGGAGGAGGGGGGGAAGCAAGAGTGCCCAGGGTGATGCTCCCCGCCCCCAGGTCCTGTTACAACAGCAGCTGACATTTGCTCAGCAGGTGTCTGTGGGCACTGCTCTCTCCATCAACATGAACGGCCTTCGCCTTCGCAGCAGCCTCTGAGAGGGCTGTCCACACCCTCCTCTCGCAGGCTCGGGAACCTGCCAAGGCAGCCTCGTTAATGGGAGCCTGGATTCGAACTTGCGCCCTCCCTGTGGCCAGCATGGAGAGGATTGGCAGGATTTGCCCCTTCCAGGTTCTGTTTCCTGGGACAGAGACTGGGCATGTGGTGCCGTCATTAATGGGGACCCCCTTGGGTCCCATCAGGTGTCAATACAGTAGCACCCCCACTGACCTACCAGCATCCTCATGTGGTCTGCCCAAGTCCCTGCGATCAGACAGGAATCAGAAAGCAAGTATGTCAGCCAGGAGGCCAGCCCCCGCCCCCCGTCTCTCTCACACACCCCAGGTCAGGCTCTCTCTCCCCACAGAGCCCCCAGTTCAGTCCCTGTTTCCTGCTCTGACCCCACGCCTGCTCCTGCCTCTCTCCAGGGCCCAGATCGTCAGGGCTGTCACGAAGCCGCCAGGAGCCTTTGTGTAGGGTTGGGGTCCTGCACAGCCCTCCACTGGCTGACAACTGCCAGATGAGCTGCGCTAACGAGGCCTGGTCGGGACCCAGGATGTGTTGCCAGGGCAACCGGGCGCCTTCTCTCCTTTTTCCCACCAGCCACTCATCACTGGGCAGCCTGTGTGTGCGCAATGTGGGATTGCGTGCCTCTGTGTGTGTGTGGACCATCTATGTGTGCGTGCACACAACAGTGGGCTTCGGCGCATGTGTAACTACATGGATGTCTTATGCACATGTGTGCATGTACATGTTAGTGTAGTGACATGCATGTGAGAGTGCAGTAGTGCTTGTGCACAGGTGTCAGTGTGGGCATAATTATGTGTGTGCATGTATGCTATGTGCAGCCATGTGTGCCAGCAAGTGTGCGCTCACTTGCATTTCTATATTTTTCTGCGTACCCATGTACATATATGTAACATTGTGAGCCTGTGCATATGTGTTGCTATGTAATTGTGCCTGTGTGTGCCACCATTATGGCGTGCATGTGTGTGCTTGTGTGTGTGCGCGCTGTGGACATAGTGGGGACCAGGGGCTCCAGAAGGCCCCCTGCCCCCTCTCTCCATGCTGGCTCCTCACTGGGAACACCCTCACCTATGTCCTCTCACTCAGACTTCAGGCCTCGACCCACTGCCTCTTCTTCAGGGCAGCCCCTACCCTGACGAAGTCAGACCCTTTTTTAGGTTCCTTGTGAGTGTCACACACTGCCGTGCACTATCGATCTGATCGGAAGGATCTGTTACTTGGGCCTGCAGTATCCTAGCGCTCAGCCCGTGGTGCAGACAAAGGTGACGTTTGCACTTTCCTTCCAGCCCAGCCATCCTCCGAGGCTTCCTCCTGTCCAAAGGGCCACGGGCATCCAGGGCACCTCATGTGGTGCAATCATAAAATGGTGCCCCCTTCTCAAAGTGGAGCCAGCCCAGCGGACAGGAGAGCCAAAAGATGAGGCGTTAGACACCTGGAGACCTTGTGGGCACCTGGATCCAGCTTTACATGAAGTCCATAACTGCTCACCATTCCAGTTCAGAGAAGCAATAAAGTCCTTTAAAATCCCCCCCCCCCCCCAATTGATTTCAGAGAGGAAGGGAGATAGAAACATCAACAATGAGAGAATCATTGATTGGCTGCCTTCTGCATGCCCCCCATGGGGGGTGTGGGGAGACCAAACCTGAAACCTGGGCTTGTGCCCTTGGCTGAAATCGAACCTGAGATCCTTTAGTCTGCAGGCTGACGCTCTATCCACTGAGCCAAACCGGCTAGGGCTGAAGTCCTTTCCAGCTTGACTTCTTATTTATTTATTTGCAGCCAAGGAACTGATACAGAGAGTCTCCAGTACGAGGCAGGAGGAAATGCACGGAGCTAGGTGTGCCCCGTCTGGCAGGAGGGAGGGCAGCGTCCTAGAACCTGGGATTTGTACATCCCGGAGAGCTGGGGGATGTGGGCCTGGGGAGAGGGCGTGAGCATTAATCAAGGAGCGGTTTGCAGAAGGAACAGGACCTGAAGTGGGGAAGAAGTATTGGGGTAGCAGGCACATTCCAGAGGTAAAGGGAAGGGGCGCAGGAGTCCAGCCACCTGAGGCTCCATCCCACTCCACCTCTGCCTCAGCTGCAGCGCCTGCTCCCATCTGTCCACTGCCTTCCCCTGCCGTCCGCGGCTCATCATGGCTCCACACGCTCTGCATGCCCCACATGGAAGCCCACACGCCCTTCCTGGAGCCTTTGCTTGGGTGGTGCCCATCTCCCCAGCACACCTGACCCTGGCCTGCCCGGTGAGCATTCCACGGTGGAATTCTAGCCCGGGACTTTCCACTCTGCAGCACAGTGTGGCTGTGGGCGAGTCATGTGGCTTGTGTGGGTCTCAGGCTCCCCACGAGCGATGCTTCAGCCCTGGTGAGGAGGCTCAAGCTCATGTGTGGAAAGAGCTCATGCTCTGTGGAAGCAGGCACAATGCGGCAATGATAATATAATCACATTAAGGATGATAATTCTAGGCTGCCAGCAGACCCCGGAGGTCAGCGGCTTCCTTGGTCCGCCTGCGCTGGGGGCCTTTCCCCGCTGCACCTGCCCCTCTGTCCAGCTGCTCGCACCCCCTTCCTCCAGTGTGGGATTCAATTAAGCTTTTGTTTTCTTCTCAGCTCTTCTGAGAGTGGGAGGGAGGGGCTGTCTGCAGCTGGGTCTGCTGACAGAAGGAGAAAAAATGACTCCAATAAAAAGGAACCACTGCAGAGGGAGACCTGCATGTGCATGCCCTCCCTTCCTCCCTCCAGGAGCAAGCCCATGCCCCCCACGGAGGTCAGGAGCATGGGGCGGGTGTCCAGTGTTGACCTGGAGAAAGAAGGTACCTATCAAGAAGGGCTCACTGGGCTCCCATGTAAAAACAGAGCCTAGCAACCATGGCCAAACCCAGGCCTCTCAGACAGACTGCCCTTCAGGGAGAAGCCTGCCTGCTGGCTGAGCCCACTCTCCTACAGGAGTTGCTGGAATTGTATTTCAGCCAGTAGGAGGTTTTCCCTGT